TTATAAATTCTGGAACAACTGAAAAAATTGCCGATGACCGAATTGATAAGTTACCGAGTCGGAATCAATAAGTAACCAACTTCTGAAGCTTATCGATTCGGTCATCGGCAATTTTTTCAGTTGTTCCGGAATTTATGAAAACAGCTGTAATGCTCCATTTACACCCAGGTGACTCATGAATCCACCCGAAGGGTTGCTTTTTTAACCCACCCGGGTTCTACCCAGGTGGCTCATGGGTCCACCCGCGGGTGACCCGGGTGGCATTTTTTTGACGGGTCCAATCACTAGATATGACAAAAGATAGCTTAAAAACCTGCTTTATTTGGCATAAAAAAAATTCATGAATAAATAATTAAAATCAAAATTAATTTTATGTTTGAGGTACAAATCTTTTTGCATCAGACACTAATTAATATTTTGAAAAGTTGTAAATCCTTAATCATGTAATCTACTGAAATTTCAGTTCCAAATATTTTGGAACAATAATCCACGAACTGTCCTTGATATCTCACTTATAATTAAATACATGACACTGAACAAGAAAACCAAAAGATTGTCTTGTTAGATTATAAAATTGAAAAAGGCAAAGATGATTAAATCATTAAAGTAACCTTGATTCACCTTTATAAAAGAAGCAGAAAAAAAAAAAAGATTATTGATAGTAATTAACAATTAAAAAATCAATCTTGCACCACTTTTGTTAACATCGTATAAAAAATAAGGATGTTTTAAATTTATGAGCTTATAAGATTTGTTTAAGCATAGAAATTGGCAAAGATCTTTGCAAAAGGTATATAATATTTACATAACTTTTTCTAAATGTTAAATTATAATTTCTAGGCAAGTATCTAATCAATTCCGAATCACATAAGCTTTAAAATTTAAAAATATCATTAATCACATAAATTGACCCAAAATCTTTACCAATTTACTATCAAATTTGAATAAAATTTTATATCATGTTTCGTAAAAAAAAAAAAAAAAAAAGAAGATATTTACATTAACCGCCATTATATCCAAGAAAATGTGATGTTGAATTTAATATATCAAATGAGAGTGTCATTGATCCAGGAATATCGGATGGATTGTCATCAGCTTTCCACTGCACTATAGGTTGTGGATGAACGCTGTATGATGAGATTTTCCCTTCAACAATTACTACACTAAGAGAATAATCAAGCGTTCCACGTGGAATCATAGGATCAAGCAGTTCTATTAATTTGCGTGCTCCCGAATACGAAATTGCATAAGCATGTGAACACATTGGGGCCACAGTTTTATATAATTTATGAACAGATGAACTTTTTCCGACTTGTTCACCAATACGTTCAAAACAATGGCCTACATATAAAACTTCCCAAGATGAGGGTAAATCACGATGAATATCAGTCATAATAGCTGTAATGTTAATTTCAAAGTCCGCATCATCTTCTAAAATTAAGATGCTATTATAATTTTCTTCAACCATCAATTTATAGATATAATAATGACTAAGATAAGTTGCTTTTTGTGGAAGGTTCATATCTGAGGAACCGAATCTGTTGAGAGTTTGTACATCGTTTTTAGAAAAAGCTGAGAAATAATCAAAATCTAAACCAAGGTATGATGCTATATCATCTAATCTTTTACGTCTATCCGTTCGATGGTTTAGATGAATTACGTAAATATGATCAAAGCCAAGTGTACGATCTAAGGATTTATTTTGTTTCAGTGATTCTAATTCTTTGTAAGAATAATAATCTGATAATGTTCGAAGCAAGAAACTTAAATAAAATAATATAGTGACTAAGAAAACGATAAATATTTTTATAATACACCGGCTAGTTTGGAACTGCTTTACTAATGAATAATTTAATTTCATATTAACGTTAAATAATATATATAATTGAATAAATTAAAGAAAATTCAAGTTCCGACATTTTTATATTTAAAAAATATTTAATTTAGTTGATTTACGGTTTCACATGTACATACTAATAAAACTGTTTCAACGGAAAGCATCATTTCATTTTCATATAATAGTAATGATCCTTTAAAAATATAGCTTTTGCCACATTTGATGTCATTTAAATGATCGATTTTAGCACATTGTAGATCTTGATCGAAATTGTTATAGTTTAAATTTTTTAAACGTATGATTTACTAATTTATATACTGTATATATTCACTAGCATCTGACCCATCGGGATTCAAAATATAAAAAATGTTTAATTTAAAAACAAAGGAAATTATCAGAAATATATATAGTATATAAGTACTAATGTACCGTTAACTACTTTATACAGAGGTATTCAGTAAACTGTATGGCATTATAGAATCACGGACGTACGAAAATTATACTAAATTTTGATCGTACAGTACATACGGTTAATATATTAGACATAACGTACGTACATCAAGTATTTTTAATTTAAAAAGAATTTTTTTAAAAAAAATTATTATTGATTTTCTTTGCAAAATGGCTTCAAATGCTTTATTAGTCATTCATTTTTTTTTTGTTTCAAACCTTTGAAAAAATTGTTGACAGCTATGTGAATGGTCGAATGGCCGAAAGAAATGAAATAATAATTGATTATTCAAAATATGATCGTTGTTTAGCTGTTTAAAAACCCATCTAAACACAAAAACCAAGCTTTATTGGGCTCTGAATACTTTAAATTAGTTAAAACTGGCGTTATCGAAGAGTTGAATATTCAGTTGGATAAACTTAACTGTTATCCTATTGAAGATTTTATGAAACACGGTACTTCACAAAACTCAATAAGATTCTTCGAAATATCACGAAACTTCTAATAAGAAATTGCTTAAAATACAAAAATAATGGAAATCACTGTAATATGAAATAAAAACCCTTCTTGTAAAAACAATGCTTTCGTACTTTCCAATGTAGTTACTTCAATTTTTAATTGACGGAAATTTGAAAGTGACGTCTAACAAATACAGACTTAAAAAAGTAACATTGATTTGAAATTTTTTCTTTTTACAAACCGTACGTACTATCATTATTTCCATACGTCCATCCTAATTTGTGTTTCTGTATCCCTAAAAAATAATACTCTATGATTAAGGGTAGGGGGTATGTCGATCATTTTTCATATGATCTGAGTGTACAAGAAGATTTCATATACAAAAAAAAACTGATTATTAGACTTCTGAAAAAAATAACTACCTAATCAGATTCATGTATATTTATTATTATATATCTGTATATTATAATATGTATTACTATATTTATATTGACTTTTCTGTTTTTAAGTTATAGTAAAACGAACAAAAATACATACTACGTAGTATTTGGCAAAATTAAATAAATACAGTATTTAATAGTCAAATACTTAAGTAATATTTAACAATTATAATTTCTAAATTTGGTAATGTATAATCTTGATCTAATAAGCTTTATTATCACTAACACTAATTATTTGTTATATTTTAATTACTAATACTATAATAAAACTACAATTGTTTTTAGATTCAAGATTTTAAAATTTAAATTAACTTGCATTAAAAATAAAATTTTATATAGTGATTTCTAGTTGTAACAGCCCGGGTGAAAATGGGTGGGTCAACCCGCGGGTCACCCATGGGTCAACCTATGGTTGATCCTCATAGACAGACATTTGCCTGATTGGCTAATATAAATTAATTGCCCAAGTAACTTATTTATACACTTTAAAGTACTTTTTGGAAACGTAACATTTCACTAATAAAAAATCACCACAAAAGCCATTTTTTGCTTTGTTAAAATGTTTATATTAACTAGGCAAAAATAATTAAAAAAAATAGTAACCTCAAGAACTTCACTTAGAAGTGAATTTTTCTATATATTATATACCAGTTATTATATATAAGTACTAAATTTAAAAAACTGTTTACTCAAAAAGTGATCAAGATACTCTAGTGTAAGTTTTAGTAAAGAGCTTTGTATTTACTATTTAATTCATTTTAGGGTTTCTATGTTTGAGTTGGTCTCAGTTTGAGTTTGATCAAACTCCAAACTTAAATTATACATTTTATAAAATTCAAAAACCCAAACACAAAATATTTGAATTCAAACTTGTTTAGGTTTGAATCTAAATATGTATAAAAAAATCAAGCTAGTTATACCAGTTTGTATACAACTTTTTATAGCATGGCCACTATTAATTATAGATATTATACTATTTATGTTAATAAATTACTTTCTTTTATTTTATCATTTATGTTTGTTATTTTGCACAATGCATAAACAGTATTATCTAGATTTATATTATATTGCATTAATTTGAGCAAGAGTTTAATAATTTATATAAAAGATAGAGGTTTAATAAGTAATTTAAATGAAAAAATAATTTGAGTAAAGATTTAATAATTAATTTGAGTAAAGGTTTAGTAAGTAAAGGCTTAGTAAGTTATATAAAAAAATAATTTAAGTGAAGATTAATTTAAGCAAAGGTTTAATAATTTATATAAAAAAAA